ATTTTTTCTAAACAAAACATTAAATATATTACAGGTGTGAGATATTGACAAAAAATATATATCTCAATATTTTCTGGGATTTTATCAATAAAGATAATTAGATGATATTTTGCAGATTAGCATATGAAATTTATAAGCAGTTTTTGTCTTTTTTTGTAAAACACCACTTACAATCGTAGGAAACAGTGAGTTGTTGTTGTTGTTTTTTGTACAGTTCACACTACATTTTTAGATAACCTTAATAATATGCTTCATGTGAGAACATCTACATGAATTGGTTTCTTGTAAATTAAAAATATAATTCAATCTGACTATATCAATCTGACAAGTTATGTAAACTGAAGTCACGTTAGTAGGATAGATCAAATACAAGTACATCTCTGAAATGACAATTGCAGGTTAACACTTTTTTCCCAGTAGATGTTTTAATGTGCCACCTTACAGTTTTCGCTGTGTTCTTCTGGCCACACTATTAAAAATGTATTGGAGTTGCCACTGTTTACACATGTAAATAAATATTTTGAGATCCATCTTACATTTTAACATAATTTTTTTATTTTGATGATTTGTAAATGAAGTAACACTGTTTGAACTGTATAATTATATATACTGTAATTGTATAAATTACATATATATATATATAGATATATATATATAGATATAGATAGATATAAATTATTTATAATTATATATAGTTCACTTTAAAATCTATGTCTATGCTAAAATACAAAAGAGAATTTGAAAAGGTGGAGTTGAACATTACAGATTATTGAATAAGTGAGTGAAACTGAGCTTCTCAGCATTGTCAGGAGTCAGAACATGAGAGTTTTGCTACTCAGAAGGTTTAATGGCTCTCTTGTCGGAGCCACACATTAGTGAACTCTTCATGTACTTTTTAAACTTTTGATCTCTCATGCCATATATAAGTGGGCTCAGCAGACGTGGCAAAATGCTGGTAAGAAGAAAGGTGCAAACGTAGATTACAGACTGGTAGTAAGGAAAGAGAGATGTTAAGGCCCCATCCAGGACAGTTGTGAACAGGGACAGTGTACAGAGCAGTAACTGGACCCCATGCAGTAAAATGGTTCTCCTGGCCTTCTGTGCTTGAGCTGGTTCTGAAGCAGCTGCTTTAGCAGAGAACAGCACTTTGAAGTAAGTGTAGAAGAGCAGCACCCACACTAAGCACATGTAGCTGATGTTAAATACAGCATGACTTATTATATTGTATTCTAAATCAAACACATTTTGGTGGTAGCATGTCCGGCTAGTGGTAAAGAAGGAAAGTGGACGAAGAGCCAAGACCACAAGCAGGTCCAACACACCAGGCACAGCTCCCACCAGCCAGATGATGCCGATCAGGATTTTAGTGTTTTGGACGGTGCATATTCGTACATGATGTAGAGGGAAGCAGACGGCCACGAAGCGCTCAATAGCCATGCCGGCCAGGTTTAGTGGTGTGTTCTTGTAGGCATTGCTTCCAATGAAGATGAAAATGCAGCAGATAGCAACATTCATGTTTGGCATTAAGTAAAATAACACAAACAAAATCACACAGACAGACAATGTAATGATGTCATTGATGATCAGCTGCATGTAGAGGATATAGCGGGGCTCCTGAGCGAAGACAGGATTCTTGAAGAAAGTATAAACCAGCAAGCTGTTGATACAATTGATAATGATACCAAATAAGAACACAATGAAGTTTTTGAAAAAGGTTTCCTCAAAAAATTATTGTTGGTTGATTAACCTTGAAGTGTTCATTTCACAATCGTCAATAGCTTCTTTTTTTTTTTTTTTACCGAAAGTCCTGTTAATTAAATGTAATTTAGGTTATAATTAGGGTAAGAAAATGAAGGCCTTGCATGCTGCAGTAGATCCAAAAAGACTTTTCTGCGCTCCTTCCAGTTAAAATCTGTACATCAAAGATATCAAACTCTGATCCCTCTTTCTGTCTCTTGATCTGTCATTTATATAATGAATTGGTGACATTACTCAGAGGTTTCCATATCCTCATGAGCCTCGTTGTAATGTCACTGAGTCCCCAAAGTCAGAAAAACAATGAGGTTGAAGCAAACAACACTCAGGTTAAAAACAAATTGACCTTTTGTTTGCTTTTGTTTTTATTATTACATTAAACAGTTGGCCATTTATTAAATTTATTTATTTTCCAAATGAAAAACAAGTATGTATTTTTATATGTGGTGAGACATATGATAGGCCTATAAATAAACTTGAGTAGCCCACTGTAACATAGATTTTTTTAAAAGCATAGTTTAAGTAAGTTTAATTTTAAATGTTATAAAATGTTAAATAATAATGAATATTAATATTTGTATTATATATGCATATTTATATACAGTAGCCTATACTGTAGAGTCATACATTAGGCGCACATGTGTCCATTATTGCAGTTTTTCTCGATTGCTTAAACACATTTCTTGAAACTATGACTCGTATTCTCAAAACAGTAAACACAAATCCATAACGTCTCACCCAATTCGCCAAACATCCTATTTTCAGGTCAAAATGAAGCTCTACACTCAAAACCATTCACTCTTGCTGAAAAAACAAAATTTTCCCTCAGACATCACACACAAGCTTTCAAAAACACACACACTACAACATAGTATTACACACTGGTGCAATAAATTCAAAACAATATATCCAAAACTGGTAAGTTATGTTGCTTGTGGTTCTCCCCCTCAAAAACCTTTTCTCATGAACACAAAAGACCACATTGCAACACAACACAACTGTAAAAAAATAATAATAATTATTCCGCCTCAGCATCCTGTCTTTGTTCTGGGTCAGGCCAGAGAATCATCACAGGCTATACTGGCCCTAGCCAGGCAGCAAGGGTAAAATCCTCTTGCATGCCTGATCCACCCCTAGCATGCATCTACTGATATGTCTAGGCAGGCTTCTTCCATGGCCTGGAGGAGGTGAGCACGGATATAAGGTTCTCGGTCATACACTTTCCACCGCCATGCCGAAAAAACTCCTCTATCGGGTTTAGAAAGGGAGAGTATGCAGGCAGAAAGATTTTAGAAAACCTCGGGTTATTGGTAAACCAGTCACGAACCAGAGCAGCGCGATGGAAGCTGACATTATCCAAAACAACAATGCAATGAGGCTGCTCTGGCTGTGCTGGTTCACTGAGGTCCAGCTCGAACATATGCTCTCTTAGACCATCAAGGAAAGCAAGGAGGAGCATAGTGTTATAGGGTCCTAGAATGGCATGACGGTGGAGTACCCCTCGTTGGCTGATGGCTGCACACATAGTGACATTCCCTCCACGCTGATCAGCGACATTTACAATAGCCTGATGGCCAATTATGTTCCTCCCCCTTCTCCTTCTTTTGGTCAGGTTGAAACCAGCCTCAGCCACAAAGATAATTTCATGGGGAACAGGCCGGCCTTCTTGAAGATTCTCTGCAAAACACATGAAACACAGTAGAGTAAATTACTTCCCTGAACCACAGTTCAAGAGGGCACAAATGGCAGCATAAACTGCTATACTGTGATGGTACACAATACTTCATACGAT